CCGTCCGCGCTGAGGGGGCCGTGGCGTCTCTTGCCCAGGAGGCCGTAGAGGAGAAATCTGTATGTGCGGCCGCTGTCCAGGGGGGTGATGGTGACCGAGCGCTCGTGGCCCCCCACAGGCACCATCCGGGGCCCGTCCCTGTCCTTGAACTGGACCACGAAGGAGTCGAAGTGGCCCTCGGGGACCGTCCAGGAGAGGCGCAGGGAGTCCGGGGTGGGCTCCGTCACCCACAGCTCCCCGAGGCGGGGCGGGGCCTGCGGGCTGGCATCACTGTGGGCAGCTGGCAGAGAGGACGGTTCTGCGTTTATGTTCCAGAGTGACTCCTTCAGGCCTCTCATGGAGTGCAAACCCAGAACTGCCCAGATGAGCAGTGCGTCCCTCACCTCCCACCTCCCCCCACACCATCCCGCTGCCTGCGCCTCCGCCCACTTGCACCAGGAGGGGCTCTGTCCCCAGGCAGCTCTGGGCAAGGGCCCCCGATGCTGCCATCTGACTCCTCGTGCTGCCCGGCTCTTCCCACTGATCAGACTGGCAGGCGGAGGATCCCGTCACCGTCAGCTCCCCCAGCAGGGGCTTCACGGGGGGGCCGGCAGGGGGCTCGGCTCTGGGGGCTGGAAGAGAGGCAGACAAGCTCTCCTGTTGCTGGAAGAGCTGGGAGACGCCCCCCCCCCACCCTGGTCCAGGCCAGAAGGGCCGGCTCGGGCCTGACAAGTCCCCTTTCTGGTTATGATCACCCAAGTCTTTCCTTTTGGTCCGTCTGACCGGCAGCCTCCCGCCTCGGGGCCTGGCCTGTTCCCTCTGCCCACATGCTCCTTCCCCAGATGCCTTCACGGCTCATGTCGATGCTCCTTTAAGTCCTGTTCAAATGTCACTTTTTCTTCAGGACCTCCCACCTGTTTAAAGTTTCAATCCTCCCAATTGGAACCTACCTTCCTTTTTAAAAAATTATTATTTTTTAAAATAATTCTTTATTGTTGAAAGTATTACATAGGTCCCCTTTTCCCCTCATAGACCTCCAGCCTGCCCCCGCTCCCCACCCAGGCCCTCACCACCCCACTGTCCGTGTCCGTGGGCCATGCATTTATGCATAAAGTCTTGGGTT